AGGGTTAAGATGGGTGTTAAGATATTACTGAGATCATTATTTGAAACAAAGGGTTTCATGGAAAGAGAAATACACTGCTACAAGAAGAACTTGGTGTTTAATGACTTCTCATAAAATTATTGACTCATGGTTTAACAATATCACAATGTGCTGCCAAGACAACTAAAGCATATGACAAGAAACTTGGGGATGCAATATTTTTGGCAGTTACTTGAAGAGGTAGGGTGCTGGAATAAATACTCACTCAATAACGTGTGGACCTCTTTCTTTTCAAAATCATTCCTATCTGGCAACGTTTTAGCTCATTGCTATGCTTTATATTTTGATTTGGTAAGCAAAGTGCTTTTGATACTTCATTTTCTTTTCTTTATTCTGTCTTTTGTTCTGCTTCTTATACCAAACTTTTGTAAAAGAGCTTAGGTCCAAAAAATGTGCACAAAAAGTTACTCACAAAAAATGTGCACAAAAATAGTTATTTTATGCAACTGAATATAAATTAAATATATATATTTATGGTCAGGGACTGTGGCAGAACCAGCCTCGCCACTGGAGGAGCCTGGTTGCTCGCCTGCTTCCTTTAGACTATGGCCGTCATTTAAAACCTTTTATTTTCCCTGCAGAAAGGCTTACTACCGAACAAAGTACCGAACGATCGACCACCAAAGTATCCCGTCAATTGACCGCCCAGAAGCTGCGGTTAACCGCAGCTTAATTGACGAATGCTGGGTGGCCTTTCTTAGTTTGCAAAACACGTGGCAGCGGCCATTTTAACTCCTGAACGGCCAGCGGTGTTCAGCGCCCAAACTATGAAACAGGAAACGGACACTTATTTGCGCAAACACCGCTGAGCCCTCAGCCTCCTTACCTCTGCATTCGGTAGTGTAACCGAATGCCGATTCATTCGGTAGTTTAACCGTATGAACAGCATCACCCCAGATAGCCATGCCATGGAGCCTATTCATGTATCGAAAGACTTTGGCTCCATGGCGATTGAACTGTATGTATGTGATCTGAGCTATCAGGGGATATGTAGAATGTATGTGTTTTATTCATTATTTGCAACATTGGGTATTTTTGTGTCTTTTTACTAACATGTGCTCAATGGAGTTTTGCCTCTGTCCTGGGAGATAATTGCATTACTTCCCAATTATCTCCAGGATAGAGAGGAGTGATTGTGATGTAATTGTGGGAGTGTTTAAAGGTGTATGTCTGTGATTGGTCAATGTCCAATATGTTTCCCAGTCTTCCATCTGGTCCCCTAGGAGAGTGTCCACCAGGTGGAAGACCTGCATAAAAGCCAGGCAGGTAGCCCCAGTAAATCAGTTCTAATTCACCCTCAATTTGGAGTCCTGTCCTGTCCTTGGGGGAATCTGCTACAATGGATTGCTATGCTCTGCATATTCCCTTGCTATAATCACTCCTAAGCTCTTTTAAGAGCTCGTTCCTGCTTCGCTCTGAAGGAAGAGAGGTTCGGCCTGTGGTGGTTGTGGTGTCGGCTAGAGTGCTTGGAATCGTCAAGAAGCGCTAGGAGCATCCATCAGCGGAGGTACCCAGTCGGGGTGCCAGGTGATCCGTTACAGGGACGATAAGCCAAGTTATAGTGGTAGTGGCATAAGTCGGTTGTGGTGTGCAGGAACCGACGTTCGGGTAAGCCTGTAAAAAGAGGGCCAACCAAATCGAATGGTTTGATAAAGGGATCAGTGGGTGGGCTGAACCAGGCAGCAACAGCACAGAGAAAGGAGAAGCCTGTATATTTATAGGCAAACTAACCCCTCCCACAATTCCAGGCTTCACCCACAGGCTCAGCATTCTATTTGTGGTCGGGGGCAATAAGCCGAGTTATAGTATTAGTGGCATAAGTTGGTTGTGGTGTGCGGGAACCGACGTTCGGGTAGGCCTGTAAAAAGAGGGCAAAAGTTTAATAGTTTGCAACTTATTACATGTTGATATTACATAACCAATACTTAAATATTTATCAACATTATTACCATCCCTGAAAGAGAAACAGTTTGTTAATGGGAGATCCTGTATAACACCCAGGTACTGGCTAACCCTTATTAAGCCATGTGGCAAAATGATTAAGCTAAATTGGTGACTTGGGAACCTAACTAGTTGCCAATGGGCGATGAGAGACTCTACCTATGATTTGGCCCATGGGGTAAGTTTGCCGCTGAGCGTTGTGGTGGGGTGTTGGCCTCTCAGTGAGAGCTAAAGATATATATGATAAGTTGGCCTTGATTGATGAGGCCCTAACTGCTTTGCCAAGAAGGCGGAGAAGCAAAACAGTAACTATAATTTGGCCTGAGGGGCAAAATACCTTTGCTGAGTTGGCCTCACGTGACAGCGATGTAATGGTACAAGAGGATGAAAACTACCTATGGCCACCTAGGGTACCCTAACAGCCAGACCAAGATAATAATAGTGTTCTGTAGAGCAAGTAGTTGTTGTACGTAGGGAGGTATTATCGTAAAAGCAAATCACTTGCGTGGCGATAGAAAATGTGAAATACAAAATAATTCACAAGAGACATGATTAAATAGATGTATACCTGGATGATAAATGAAAGTAAATTAATAGGTGAATATGTAATAAAGGGCAAATAAATACTTGTACAGTGATTAAATTAACCAAAACCTGAGAGTTACTCCAGAGAACTTGTGTTCACAATTACTAACATTGAACAATTGTTTATCAACAGTCTGTGCCAGAAAAGCAGATAAAATAAGTATTATAAGCTCAGAACACCAAATTACTCTAGTGACAACAGTTGTCAACCTAACTGAAGGAAATTGAACAGCATAATAAAGACACAGTTGACCATATCTGACAATCGGTCCCAGATATGCAACAACCAGGTAGAAGTAGACATGGAGAGACTTTACATAAGGATATGCACGTAACTCGATATGACATTAAGCCTAGCAAGAATAGAATCACTGACTGAATTGCATATGCGAAAGAACAGCCTGAGAATTTAAACAACAATCACATAAAAATCACCTGTCTATTGTACTGGCATGAAGCGACTTAAGTAAGAGCCTGAAATAGGAGGTGAGGATAATACTAATACAGTTAAATTAGTGACAGATCGAAGAGGCTGCTAATTGAGAGGCCCAAGGTTCTTGGGAGTTCACTGAGAGAGGACTGTCTGGAAAGAACATACGTGGACCTACCGAGGCCGTGTGTAATATTGGAATGGAAGATTTGTATTTTTTTTATTTATGTATTTTATTATAAACATATTTAAGTGCCCTATTGATGTGCAGTAACAGTCGTAGCAGTTGTCCCAGAGGGCTTTGTGTAACGTATGGAGTGAAGGATTAGTGATGGATGTGTGTAGAGGTACCGTAGCGGAAGGCAGAGATTACCCAAAGTAAGTTATAAGCTGCAGGAGAAAAAACGTTGAAAAGGGGTAACGGATGTATGGAGTGAACAATTTAGGAATGTTTAGAATGCCAATAGGGACGTCCTGGTGTAGACCTATGCAAAAGTAGAGGTAGGAAGAGTAGTCAGACTGGGTGGCAACATGGAATGTGGTGGAGGGCCATCTATAAGACCGATGCCAAATGATGACGAGTATGTAACCGACACTAAATATATTTTATAGTGTCATGAAGGAGGTGACTAAACACCTATTACTTACAAATACTGTGCAAGAGTGAAGCGTCCCAATATGAGAAGCAAGGAGAAAATGTATAGGAAGAGTGAAGCTGGAGAATAGGTCCTGAGAGGCAAGATACAGAAATAGAGCTGAATAAGGGTAATATATATATGGAATTAAGAAATGAAGGATACTTGTATCATGGTATAGGAGTTGTGTAATACCTGTGTAAGGTCAGGTCTATAGGACTGGTAGGACGATCAGTTAGGCTAGAAGGGTAATAAAGTAATTAGTGTAGGCCATCTAAGGATAAAGCCAAAAGACACTCTTCGGTGTCACTAACGCCGAAGAGTATGTAGTGTCCTGATGTAGGTGACTTTATACATAATACTTGTTATTACTGTGCAATAATTAAGTGACACAATGCTTAGAATAAGGGATTCATTTACTAGTGAGTGTTGCCGGCCAAGAGAGGGCCATATAGGCTGGTTGATTTAGGCCTACCAAGTCTAAGTGATGTAATGAAATGTTGTTAGAAGGATTAGTATATATATATATATATAGATATAAATAACCCAGGCAGCCATGAAGGGTGGGTATGTCATAATGCCGCCCACAGAGGGCCATATGATGGGAATGTAATGAAGGTCTAGTAAGGCTACGTGTGAAGGCTTAGGACCTGAAACAAGACCAGTTTAATCATATTTACTTACAACTTTAGCTATGTGCACATTTTCAATCTGAGACCTATGAAGGAGATAATGAAACCACCCAAATAGATGCAGGTGGACCGAAGTGCTTAATGTGAGGTAGAGATAATGTAGGTGATGATGGAATTACAGTTACTCAAGGAGAATGCCTAATGAAGGCCTGGAGGTGCATTTTTGATAACATGTAGCATAATTGGGTAGTATGCAACCCATGTAAGATAGATGTAAGGGAAAATACTAAAAAGAGATGCCGGAATAGGACAAGGTTGGTTGCCAACTGCCAGGCATATGAACAAACATGATAATTCTTAGTGAGGACTACGTGTAGGAAACACACATATATATATATATATATATATATATATATATATATAAATAGCGAAGGCTTGCACTCCTGGTGTAATCCTGTGGTGCCCGGTGCTGGTCTGGCAAGGATCATGTAGACATAGCAGAAATGACCGCACTCCAAGGACTTTATAGAGATTTTCAAATAAAATTTAGCTTTTATTCAATCCATTTAAAAAGTCAACGTTTCAGCTCCCACATGGAGCTTTCATCAGGACAAAACATAACTTACAAGTGCAGACACAAAGAAATATATACCCCCAATCCCTCAAAATAATTTACCTTAATTGTGTACTCACCTAGCCATGAGACAGCTTGCCCTGCATTAGAGAGTGATGCAACTCTGAGTGTGGTGGCCATGTGTGCAAGGCCCAGAAAAGGGGCGGGGCTACAGGTTACTAAGTAACAATCCAACTGGACTGGTTGCTTTCCACTTTGTGTCCTAGTAGCTACAAACATGATTGAGCTCAGGGTAAAGTAGGAGTGGATACAGAGTCTAGAATGTTTCAAAAATGAATCTGACTGTCTTCATATATTTAAACAGTATAACAGGCTGGAAGGGCCATCAGGAATCCAAAATCTGTTATCATACTGGAAATTCACTCTTTGAGTGCTGGAGCAATTCATCCAATGCAGCACTGAAAGGGTGTATCTGTTCCTGTGTAACTGAGGAAAGAGCTGAACTATAAGTCTATTCTTAAACTTGTAGCAAATAGGGTGGGCATATCTCATGGTTCGGATCTAAAAAACACATTTAATATAGACATACATGATTTTAAAAATAAAAATAAAAACAACAGCTCAATGCAGGAGGTGTTACCATGTTAATACATTGATTATGCATAGGGTACTAAAGTTTAATAAATAATATGGACAGACAAAATGACCAGTGTTGAATTGCATAGTGTCCCCTGCATAGTTATTTATGATTATATACAAGATGTGACATGAGTAGTGTTATCTCTTAGGTACATAGCACACAGCATTGGAGTATGGTGGTCTAGTAGGGTATTTAACCCCTATATGATTAGTATGTGTGGCCAAACTATGTGTAATAGCCTAATTACCATGCATGGAATAAGCAATGGAATGATATGCAATGTATGCAGGGGGAGCATAAATCAAATTATAGCAACAAGACAATTTATACACATTGCTGTATAAACAAATATGTTTAGGATTATTGGATGAGATTAAACAGTGTATTTAACTCCTCCAGGGAAACAAAAAAATGTACTATAGAAACATAGATAATGTGTACTTCTCGTTCAAGCCTCTGGGATATACTGTGTCCAAAGTTTTTATCCAGAACGTTTCACGTTGTAGAAGAAGTTTACTTCGATCACCCCCACGTCTGAGGGGGGGTATATGGTCTATAGCCATAAATTTCAGGGTGGGTAACGTGTGGCCATGGGCCAAAAAGTGTTTTGCTACAGGGAGTTCAGCCTTATTGTCCCTATAGGCAATGCGAATGTTGGATCTGTGGTTGCGGATCCGTTCCCTCAGTGGGAGGTCAGTTTTGCCCACATAGGAGAGGCCACACGGACACTGGAGTTTATAGATGACAAAATCCGAAGTGTAGGTCAACCTATGCCTAATTTGGTACTTCCGCCCAGTGTGTGGATGCTGGAAGAATTTTCCAGGTATCATGTGGCTGCAGGTGACACAGCCCAGACAGCGATAGCAACCAAGGCTCTGTGCTGTTTGTTGTTTGGTGTAGCAGTGTACTGGGTCCGTCTTTACCAGGAGGTCACGTAGATTTTTTCCCCGTTTATAGCACAACATGGGTGGATTCTGAAAGATTTTTGGTAGTGTTGGATCTTCTGATAGTAAACGCCAGTTGGAGTGCAAGGTGTTCTTGAGGCTGTGGGATGCCGTATTGTAGGTGGTCGGAAAGACTAGTCGTGGTGTATCATCTTTTTTCTCTCTCATAGGCTGTTGGCTCTTATCAAGTGCTTTCTGAAGAGTAGCATCCTTGTAGCCTCTCTGTTTAAACCTATTCCATGTTTCTTTAGTTTGTAAGCATGCTCTCATGGGATCTGAGTTATTCCTTTTAACCCTTAGGAACTGGGAGAGTGGTAAGGATTCTTTCAAGTGTCGTGGGTGAAAGCTGTCAGCCTGGAGTAGGGTGTTACGATCCGTTGTCTTGGTGAATAAAGTATACCCAAGCTTCATCTCTTTTTTAAAGATATGGACATCCAAAAAATTCACTGCATCCTGGCTCACTGTCATCGTTAATTTGACCGGTGTGGGTGCCCTGTTGATGGCCTCTATCATCTCCAAAATGGACTGGTGATCTCCCTTCCATATAAGGAACACGTCAATGAAGCGCCTATAGAATAAAATATTTGCTTCATACGGTTGTAGAATGTGGAGGGTCTCAAATATATACATAAAGCTGTTGGCATACATGGGTGCCATAGCTGCTCCCATGGAGGTCCCCGCTATTTGCTGGTACCAAGTTTCTTCAAATCTGAAGTAGTTAAGTGTAAGGACTGCCTCCAGGATTTCCATGACGTATTCAATCGGGGGGCCTGTGTATGTTGTTGAGTCTTGTAACACTTTGCGCATTGCTTCTATACCATCCAAATGAGGAATGATTGTGTAGAGACTTTTCACATCACACGTTACCAGCAGTGTAGTAGTGTTGGGTAAATTGATGGTGTCCAGAAGTTTCAATAGGTCTGGGGTATCTTTAATGCAGGTGGGAAGCTTGACAACTGTATCTTTAAATAAATAGTCCAGCCACTGAGCCAATGGTTCCAGTACTCCCCCTATGGCTGACACTATGGGTCTGCCTGGTGGATGATCAATGCTCTTGTGTACCTTGGGTAAGGTGTAAATAATCGGAGTCTTAGGTGTGGACTGGATCAAGAATTTCTGTAACTCTGTTGTCACAAAGTTAGCTTCCACTCCTCTTTGTACAATCGCCGAGATTTGTTGTGTGATACATGCTGTAGGGTCGCCCTTAAGTTTGGTGTAGGTGTCTGTATCTTGAAGCTGGGATAGAAGTTCCACTCGATAGTCACAGTAGTTAAGAAGTACTATGCCTCCACCTTTGTCCGCCGGTCTAATGACCAAGTTCACATCGTTTGCTAGTGAGCGGATAAGTTCAAGGTCTTGCTTCGTTATGTTGCTGAAATGACGTTGTTTGGTTTGCAAGATTATATCCATGTCTCGCTGCATATTACGCAGAAATGTCCTTATTGATAACTGCTGTGTTGGAGGGTCAAAGGTGCTTTTGGCTCTAAAGTGACCCATTTCACTGGTAGTTGG